GGATTCCGTTTGTTCCCGAGCTCCTGGGTTTGGGCATTCAACCCCTGGCTTTTGTAGAGGGTAAATGAGCAACCAGCCCTTAACCACCAAACCAATCCAATCCAAACCACCAACTAGGGAGAAGCTGAGAGTGGCATTCATGCTCAGATGTGCCTGGAATGTGTTGGGTTGCGTTGCAAGCCTTGCCCAGCTGCAACACCATGTTATGCATGTGTGCGCAACCCGAAGGCTCTTCCAACCCTTCCAATGCAGAAATGGTTGGGAGAGGGTTAGGGGCCCTCCGATGAAGAACGCGGACCCCTGAATGGGCCCTTCCAAAGAACCCATGTTAACACGGACCTGGAATTTGCCTGCCTTTGTGCATGTGAGAGCCTGGGAATTCTGGCAACACCTTCAATTCCGAAGGTACATCGACGCAAAAGAGCTGGGGTCCATCCTACGCAGAGACGGAGGCGCGGGAGTCGGGTCTTCATCTTTTTTTTGTGCGAGAGAGAGGGAGGGAGTGTTCGATCGGATTCGCCTAAGGCCAAGATTAGCATCAGACACGCAGCGAAGAATCTTGGGCAATAATTGCAAACGCAAGATGTTGGAGCAGGAGTTGCGCCTGCAAGTGCAGGAAGCAATAGCTGGCCCCAGGTGCATCAGAAGAACTCCACGTGAAGTTTGCGAGACATGAGGAACCGCCATGATCAGTGCCACGGGCACTATGCCCGAGCCAGGCCAAGCTGAGGCCCCTCCGGAGGCTTGAAGCTTCGATGTGGGTGGGGTGGGGTTTGGTCGGCGGCTTGCAGTCTTGTTGAGTGGCGGGAAGGAGGAGAAACAAAAAAAGCACCAGCTAGGTCATGCTTCCAGGCTTCCGGATTTTCTTTCGCCACGTAGGGCGGCCCCGCCATGAGCGCAGGTCCTGTCCGCCATGCTGGCCGAAGCCTCGGGGGGTGGACCCGTCAGCTACAAGGACTGCCGACTTCCGTGGGTTGAGGTGCGAGTTGGGGCACCGGCGTGCGCGCGAGTTGGGGCACGGCTTGCAGGGCGGGGAGGGAAAAAAACGCCCTGGGCAGCTTTGGAGTGGAGGAAAATTGCAATTTGATCGATATACCTCCGCAAGGTGCCATGGGGGGAAAGGCGAGAAAGCGGGGCAATGATTCGATGTGTCAGGACTTTGTCCGCTTCATCCATGCGGCCGCCAAAGAGGCGTAGTTCGGGCAGCTCCGGTGGCAAAACAAGCAGCATGAGACGACGTGAACCTGGCCCATATGGCCCATCTACCTTTCAAGTTGGAGCTTCCCGCTGTTTCACCGCCGAAGAGTGAGGCGTCGGCGCAAACTCGCAATTGGGGTTTCGCCGCATATGGTCCCCAGGATGGGGATTCGAGATTTGGAGCGAGCGTCAGTCACCGTCGAATTGATCCGGGCTCGCAGTGCTTGCTTGCATCGTGCTGAACTTGCCTCGGCACTAAATGGGCCAAAGGCAAATGTTTCTGGGTTTCTAGGAGCGCCGGAGGATTGTACCTGGCTGCATTGCATGGAGATGGCACCAACATCCCAAGTGATGAAACTACAAAAACTCCAATGTGAGGTGGCACCATCTGACTGAAGGGTGCCGTGAATCTGCAGATGCCCCCAGCAATGCAGCCGCGGCCCTCCCCATTTCGCGCCCCAAAAGGGGGGGTGTTTCGTGGGGCTGCAGCCCTTCCGGCCGGAAGCAATACCTTTTCAGAAAAATGTTGCTGTCACTTTGAGGCTATGCATGAGGAACCTGGGTTTGCGCGGGGGGGGGGGCAGGGCAGACGCAAAAATATTATTTTTTCTGCTGGGCATGTCGTGCGTGCGCATTGGTTCCACGAGGCATGTAGTTTTTTCTCCAACACTGCTGGCAAAACTTAAAACAACTGCGGGGAAAAAACATCAGCCAACGAAACCATGTTGAAAAACCACTGCACCCGAATGGCATGGCAATGCACGGCAGGACAGTTTGTTTTCCTCAGCATGCCTTGAACCATTGCGTTGGGAGCTATGCTGCAGATCAGCCGCGTTGCCGCCGCCCTGGATGCGCGACGGATGTTTGAATTGGCAAATGGGAACCACGTATTCCGATTCACGAAAACTACATTTCAAATGAACCAATCCATGCAAAAATGTCAAGGCAAACAGAGTCTCAATGTTTGTTTTTGCATTGCGGGCCTTGTGTGGAAACTTGCGATTTGCCCTTCATTGTTGCTCAGGTGCGCTTGGTGTTGCCGGGTGCGCCTATGCGAGCAAAATTGAGGGGTACATGTGGAAGCCAAGAATGGAGGTGTTGTGGAAGCCGGATAGAACAATGTTGTTTGCGCAGTGTTTGATACAGCCGTGGGGCCGTGAGAAACGTAAATTGATTGTTTTCGGTGCTCAACCGGCACGCAACGTAGAGGGGCTTTGTGGATAAATTCCTCGGATTGTTCTATTGGGGTAGCTTGGGTATGTTGGAATCTTTCATGTGTGTTTGGCACAAATATGTTTCCTCATTTCAAACTTTACGTGAGACATGTTTGCGATTTTCCGCAGTTTCAACTACCATATGCAACCCTGCGCGAGACCTGTTTCTTGTGGGAATCATGTGAAAAGAGTCATGAGGGTGCAGCGCAAAGATCCTTGACATTTTAGATACTGACAGGTGGGAATCCGACATGTGGATTTCTCTTGATTTGGAATGTAAGCCATGTATGTTGAAGAACACCACGGCAGCGAGATGAAATAACACATGTTGAAACATCATAACTGTGGCGTCTGGTTTTGCAGCCGAATCGTTTCGAATGTGAAGTGTTGCTTGCCTCGGGCAGAAACATAGCAGTGCCATGTGAATGTGGCTTGTTTTCCTCGCATTTTCTTGTTGAAAGTCCTGGGCTGTCGGTCGACCCTACTGGCTTCTCGGCAACTTCATGCGATTTGCCAGGGCGACTTGCATTTCGGCAGGCAGTGGGGCGAGGGGCAGGGATGTTCAGCCATGAATCGATGTTTGGTAGAATTGGTTCTTTACTTGTTTGAGGGTTTGTGTGTGTTTTTTGGAAGCTCAGTACCCTCCTTTTCAGCTGTGGCGTGTGTTTGTTAATTCCGCCCAATTGGACATCAATTTTGGGTTTGGAGGCTACAATTTGGACGGGGGGCTTGCACTGCAGGGAGTGTAATTTTGTGTAGCGTTCATTTCCAACGCACTACCTTGCTGCCCCAGCCTTTGCGCCCAAGATGTGTCCAAGTCTCGCACAGGACATGTGGCTTTGCTTTGCCAGGCCAGCGCCAGAGGTGCAGCTGCAGGCGAAAACTTCGGGGTTTGCCTGTGCGATGCGCAGTCTTGAACCAACCAGGCTAATCTGACTGGTCAGTTGAATGGTTTTTACCAACTCCTTGCGTTGGCCAGGTTGCAAGAATAAGCGCACATTAGAAGCCGAAGCAGACAAACAAGAACACATGAAAATGAAGAGAAGGGCAAGACTTTCGCTGAGAAGGGGCTAAGGCAGCTCAGTTTCCTTTCTGCCCGAGACATTGACGACGTTTGACTTTTGCACAGTTCGACAGGTTTCTTATGCTGGAAGTTTCACTGCCAAGACCCGTAAGATGTTTGCTTTCTTGGCCAGATCCCTGAGTAGCGATCCGGGCGGGAATCGGGGGAAGAAGGGAAGAAGGGGAAGGAGGGAAGAAGGGAAGAAGGGATTCAAATCCGAAAGCAGAATTTCGGCATTCGAGTCCCCAAAATTGAGCAGTCTCCAAGAACTTCTCCGGATCATGTCTCGTGCTTTGTGCCTGTATCCTGTTTGCCCGCATGTGAACGTGTCAGGTTGCATGTTCATCAAGCCCATGGTTCAAATGGAGCAACAAGGTGTCGAAGTTCCAACAAGGAAGGCCGATGTCGCAAAAACATGATTTGTAGCGCTCGTTGGTTGAGCGAACTCAGCCGCCCGACGTCAGGCGCGGGCGCTTCGCGTGATGAGCTGAGGAACTTGGTGAAGGCACGCTGGCAGTCCCAATGAGTCCTGCCTCACTGACCAAAGCCGACCTTTTGTTTTTTTGGTCTCCCCATTTTGGTCCATTTGTTGTGATGGCCCCAAGAGGTGAACCTTATATGTTCAGCTCCTTTGGGCAACTGAGTTGAGGATCCGTGGGAGGCACAGGCAACAAGGACACCCAGGCTATTCACCATGGTCGGATTTGACCAGGTTTTTGGAATGTTGAACAGAAAGGTCTGGGATTCCAAATTTCAACCTTGTTATTTTTTCGTTTTGACTTGAACGTTGAACATGTTGTGGGATTCCAAACTAGAATCTGCCTGGCCCGAGGGCCGGCCAGGTTCTCTTTTCCTCGTGTTTTCGTTTTCCTGTGCGTTTTTGATATTTTGATGATGCCCCTCACACTCAGAGGCACGAGAGCGGAGCAGCGGCCTTTGTGGCAGGAGCTCCACACCAGAGAAACAGTTCCAGAGGAAGAGGCGCCCCCTCGGGGGAAGAGCCAGTCGCATCTTCCCAAGTTGTGTTTGAGAGAATTGAGCACCCCACGACTTGCCGTGCGGATGGGTTTTGGGGCTGCTTTCAGAATTATTGTATTGTGTTTACGTTTTTTTTCTTCTTGTTCTTCTTTGTGTGTGCGTTGTTAACGAACACCATGCAGGTCTTCTGTGGAACATGCAACATGCCACTTGACACGCGGATGCCCAGCCGCAGCTTGATGTGGAGGGTATCGGACCTTTCAGACTGGCTGTCTCATACGTGGGCCTCTTGTTCTTTGTCTGACTTGTGGTTTTGAAAAAGACCCAAACGCTTAAGTTTCTCGAACTACGTTTTTGGTTTTTTCCCGGTGGCTTTGAAGGGAAACCCGAAAAACACCACCCGGAGGAATTGGTCTCCCCGTTGCGAAAGACCCATTTGGTCCTTTGGGCCAGCCAGGGAAACCACCATCTACAAACCGAAGTTGGAAAGATGATGGCAGAATTGGTATCGACCGTCACACAGGTTGGAGGTGAAACTTGAAACATGCAACTCACCCGGCTTTGGATCCTGAGAGACTTACGTGCAATGCGTAGACTCATTTTGAGAATAGTACAATCAGCGGTTCGTGCGTTCTTCATCTAGCAGCTATAGGGTTGGTGCGGCGCTGGGTCATGAGGAGGGAGACTAAGACGCTTCACGCGTGCTTGTTGGTAGAGGTGCAGTTTTTCCATAGAATCTCGAGACCCTGTAGCCTCAAGCAAATTAATTACCACACCGAGGTAAGAAACGGGAATGCCGCCACAAACACCTTCGTTTGAGCGTGACTCTTCGCCTTCCATTCTCATAAGAAGGCCACTTGCTGCAAGATCAGTCTTTTTTGAGCTGGTCGATATTGGCTGAGGAGGTTTCCCACTTCCAAATTCAGGTGGAGGCGCGAAAGCAAAGACTGGAGGACGCCTCCCCGCAGCTGCAGGCGTGAAATTGGCATTTGCCGTCTGAGTGTCAAGCTGTATCCCAACTTGTGCATTGTTTTGTTTCTCCGTGGGCACGGTTGTTAGGTTGCAAGTCATATTGCTTGCGCTGGTGAGTGCTGGTGCACGCAGTTGCATGCTCAACATAGGCATTGTGAACTGGACGTGTGACTTATGGGATGTGCCGCTTCCCCAACATACCATGCAAGCCAGGTCTTGACACGGTAAGGTCTAACGAGAAAGAGCTGGCAGCAGTGGATGACTACAGCAAAAAGGGTGCCCTTATTCCAGCCTCTACTGGAGGACCTAGGGAAAGTACCAGAAAAGGGCTGATCGCTCGCAACAAGACGGGGAAACATAGTGGCTTGCTAGTTGCAATTGAGAACGGGCGGAAGCAGAACAGAACCACGCACTTGTTTGTCTTGTTGCATTTGGCATTTGACAGCTCGCTGCCAAACCCGCGCAGAGCAACCTCATCCAGGGTGAGATGAATGATCGCCTCTCACTGCTCAAAGACCTTGCGTGTAGCTCAGTTGGCGCTGAGCACTGAATGGTGTTGCTTGTCAGCAACATGGCTATGGTAGTTCGGTTTTTGGGAGTGACAACGGGAGGGGGGGGTTCGTGAGTTGATTTTGGGCCAGCATTGTGTGTTAGCACATACTGTTGGCCTGGCGCTTCTACGATTGAGCAGCTTTCTACCTGCAGAAACCCCGAGACATCGCATTTGCTTGTCCAATGCGAGAGCTGCTTGGCTTGTTGGCAAGCCAAGCAAAAGCTGCATAGAGCTAGAAACAAGAACGCCAGCCAGCTAGCATGTGTCTCCTTGGATGTAACTGAAACACCCAAGAGCACGTGAACACTTGGAGGATGCTATTGAATCTTCAAATCTGCACGCAGGGGATGCACGGAGGATAGAGCATGATGGCATCCATCTTCTGCTTGGTTGCATGACAAGTCACAGTTCAGTTCGTTTGATCGAACACACCAGACATTCTCGCACGCCAAGAATCCCAACCGCCTTTGTTCCTATTGGTCCGCAGAAAGCCAACCTGTGCGTCTCTTTTTTTGTTCTGAGGCAGATCTAGGGCTGGTGCCTGGCAAGCCGTACCCCTTCGCCGTCTTCCTGCTTGCCTTTCTGGAGGCTCCCATGAGCGAGCCAGACATGAAATCGATCGTTGACCGGTTTAGGCAGTCCAATCCCCAAAAAAACGCTGTGCGAAGAATTAGCCTCCCCCCCCATTTTTTGTTAAAGGAGTTCTTTGTCATGTCTTGCTTTTTTTGGGTAGACAGGGTAGAATACCATACTGATGAATTGGGTGTAGTTCCATTGCAGTGGTTGTTGTAAGAGATCCTAGCACAAATGGCGTATAATGTGAGAGTCACTTTGTGCCACTTTGCAGCATTCAATCTTCCCTAGTCTGTCAGCTGTTGGACAATGGTCAATTTGAACAGTCGCTCTATTTGCAGCATGTCAAACCTTGAATGCTTGACCCTCGCATTGCTGACCCTGTTTGTCAGATATAACTTGTATACTTCATCTTGGCACATGACAAAGCACCTTCATTCTTTTGTAAGCGGGCAGCCACCGCGAGAGGTGTTTTCCTGGCATCGGTGCCCATGAAAATCTCATGGCCAGGAGTACATCAAAGGCATCGAGGCGCTTCGCGACGGAGAGACCACCTCCCAAAGAGCGGAGGAGCTACGAAAGGCCCGCGGCGTCGCGGTCGCGAATTACTTGGCCAGTGCGCATAGGTGTCCTTGTTGGTTGTTTGGGTAGAACAAATAGATGGCGATTCCTGGTTTCCCTGGCGGTTTAATCTACCAGGGCCATCTATTTCCCCTAAAAGGACACCCATGCCAGCGCGGTGTCTCGGAAGCCTGGGAGTGTTGGGCCTGTGAGTCTCAGCTCCTTTTCTCCATTTTTTTGCAGGTGCGTCGGTACACGGAGGTGAACACCTGTCGAATGATGCAAAAGCGGCAGTTGCAAGGGGATGGACTTCACATTGCAGTTTTCCCTGAGGCTAGTGTTTGATTTTGGGCTCCTGGCCTTTTGTGCAAGCTTTTGGGCATTTGCTCGGGCAAACACCTCAAACTTGGCACGGACAGCTTCTTTGCCTGTTTCTTTCCTCAATCGGCTTCAGCCGTCTTCAAATCGTTGGGGTCATGTGTCAATAGAAAAGGGCCTTCTCAGAAGATTCCACCATAGAATCTGCACCTGGCTCCAGTTTGAACAGCCACGTGGCAACAATCAAGACATTTCAGCGGCCCGTTGTTTTTCTTCTTTTTTTTTTTCTCTCTCTCTCTCTCTCTCTCTCTGTGTGCCCTGTATGGGTATGTCTCAAAATCAGGGAAACCTCCAAGACTGGTTAGTTTCCTTTTCGACTTCCCTCAAACCCTAAACTTTTGATCCAAGCTTTTTTCCTAGAAGCAAAAAAGACGAGAGCCGCCCATGTTGAAAATGGGACTTTGGATGGGCAGATCTTGCTGTGCTTCCACCGGGCGGGCCTGGCGCCGGACCGTTTGAAGCTGCTCTACGGCCACATTGCCGGGGACCCGGGGACTCAGGGCTCGGCGGCTCGGTCGGCGTGACTGGGCTGCCGGGCTGTTTGGCTACGAAACCAAGCGACTCTTGAGCATAGTTTGTTTTTTTGGGTGAGAAATAAATGGTTTCCACTGGTCTTGATGATTTTTTTTTTGGGGTGAGAAATAAATGGTTTCCCCTGGTCTTGATGGGTTGTATACGCCATCTATACCGGGGAAATCCATCAATTTTGACCCAACAGGTCACCTGGGTATGACCCGGCTCAGTTGACCGTTAGTTATGGATTCTATATGGGAACTCAGCCCCTTTCTTTCAGGCATCATATATAACCCATACAATCAGCCTTTGGTCTTGAATGGGATTACCCGCCATTGCTCAACCAGGAGTTTCTTAGATTAGTCACCACTGGGCATTGGACATATAGGTTGTAGTCCTTGTTTCCCTTTTCCAGGCCGAGCGAGTCATGTTGCGTTTTTTTTCTTCTATTTTTGACCCACACCCTGAGATTTCTTGGACACCAAGCTGTGAAATGAACCTTTTCATTGCCAGCTCTGTGGGAAGAGTTCTGAAGGTCGCTTTCAGGCGGCCGAGCCTCCCAGAAATCCGGAGGCTTGCAAGCCCACCCCCGGCTCTCCTCACCCGTGGCTCTCTCGCCCTTCATGGCTTCGTCTTGGCGCTTGGCGCCGGGCCATGAAGACGGCGTTCAGGAAAGTCGCTCAAGACCTTGGATTCTGCGTGAATCCAGCGCTCTCAAGTTGCTTCTTTTTTTGTTTGCGTCAGGTCAGGTGGAGTAATCAGCTTCCTCATCCTGATTGCGTACTTGGGACCACAAAAGATGGTTGACGGGTGTTCTAGATTTGGCTTCAACAGGATTCTCATCTCGTACTAGTGTATCACTCTGCCTCGAACAAGTGGGTCGAGTGTCTCCAGCTGTTGAAGCAAGCGCGGGTTGCAATTTGCTTGCAGCGTTTCACAGAAAAGGGCAAACCGAGGAATAAGTTTCCAGCCGTGTCTTCCATGCCAAGGAGAACGACTTCCCTCGCTTTGAGGCTGGCAGTCAGTGTTTTGTGGGAAGCGGGGATAGAAGGACGCGTGTCCTGGCCTTTCATGCCCAGCGTCGGTTGCGCTGGACTTGTTGATTGTTCACTTTGCCGTTGCAGGTTGGTCAAACTCGCACATCCAAATATGCAGCTTCCCTCCAATTGGTGGTTTGGGGATTTGAACCCGGGCAAATGGGAAGCCTCCCTAAGCACCAAACCACCGATTGGGCTCCAAGCCACCAAAAAACGAGGGAGGCCGAAGTATTTGCTGCGACGTTTCGCTGCGACTTCGTGGCGTCGCTGGCTCTCTGGACCGGATGCGAGCCTCGAAGTCGTGGCCAGTGACCAGGCCGTTGGCGCCATTTTGCCCATGCCGACGGCGGTGTTGCTCTGCAGCTTGGACGAAACAACGCCAGGTGTGAGAATTCTTCATCGCCGGTTCGTTTTGATTGTGGTCAACATGTCTTGTGTTATTGTGTTCAGCTAATTCTTATTGGCTGGCATTGGGAGGGCCGAATGCAGACCTTGTTGGCACTGAGAGATCGAGGATTGCCCCCGACAAGAAAAAACACACACACAGTAGAGCGGCCTGGTTTACTTGGTGGTTCAATCAACTACTATTTTCCCAAAAAGGACACCTATGGCCATGCAGCACACCGTGCTCCTTGCTGGTTGGAAGTGCAGCACGTTCCGACCCGAGGCCACACCATGCTGTCCACTGGTCTGAGTGCGGGGGCCTAGCTTGTGCGGCTTGCACCCGCGTCCCGATCAACGCGAGAGCAAGCGCAGCTGAGACGCGTGGGAATGCCCGACATTCCCAAATCTCGTTGCCCACTCTTGCAAGTTCATCACTTTTGGCAGACTTAGACATGAGAACAGCTAGCCCTCATTGGGTGGTTCAGTTGACCGGCCTGCTTTTCCGGCAGCCCAACTGGCACAGTGTGACCTCTCAAACTGACCAGCAATCAGAGCATTTCCGCAGTACCCTGAAAGAGTTGTTGGTTGTTGGTGGTAGGTTGTTGGTGGAAGGCATCCATTCATCCTTTTGCATCAAGAACAGCAATAGGAATCCTCTGACATCCTTCGGCCTTAGGAGATCCGGGCCTGAAAGCTGTCGTTGGACAGTCATCCCGGAGGTGTAGAACAACCCCACTTTCAGTTTGAAGGGCCTCTAGATCAGCGCTAAGCCCACCATTCTGGGCCCCTGCCATGCCCTTTTCGGAAGGCCCATTTCGGTTTCTGAGCGCAGGGCCAGTGTGTCTCAAAATAGGCCCCGGATGGATGTAAAAGGCCAAAAGGAAGCCGCCGAGCTGTCCCCAATCAGGCCCGGGTTGCAGGAGACTTCTGCAGGAAAGCAGCTTTGTGTTTTGCCATGTCCGCCAGATTTCCCGGTTTGTCGTTTGCCGAAGCCCTTTGCCGGGCAAGCGGCAGCAGCTGGCGCGAGAGCGAGCGAGGCACCGCGGGCGCGGTGGCCGTGCTGCTGCGCGCTGCGCTGCGGGAGCCGCTCATTGAGGTGGCCGATGATGCACAGGACTGACCCGGCTTCGAAGCCGCAGCGATGGCTCTGGACTCTGGCCTGTAAGCTCCGTGGATGGGGGGGGTCAAAAAGGGCGCACAAGGAATTGGATGGCTTTACAGGGAAACCAAAATTAAAACCGAAGCCCATTTTGGAGACGGGTTCCCCTATTTTGAGAAACTCCCATGTGGGCATGGGTCAAAATTTAGTCGTCAACAGGAATTGGATCACAGGAATTTTAGTACCCATGTTTCCATTCACCGATCGGGCAAGCCATTTTGGGGTTAGCCTAGTTTTGACCCCACAGCCATTTCCGTGGATGGCAGCGAAATCCAGAAATCGTCGCAACCACGAAATGAAACCATGGTTGAAAGACACTTCATGGTTTGTTACGGAAATGGAGAAAGGAAGACGGGGACCGGGCATTGTTTTGGCAGAACGATGACCGAATTCAATATTGAGAGGACGATGGATCATAATTGACTGGGTCGTTCAAGATCAATCAGCTCTGCCGGCAGCGATTCCCCTTCCAGCGCTGCTCCACGGATTTCAACGGATTTTCGGAGGATTCATGACCCAAACCGCCATTTTCAGCCACGGGTTGCCTTTGTTTGTGCATGGCTGTTTTGTGCTCCATGTCTTCAGGCTCAACACATCCCAATGCAAGGGATCCCAATGCCAGGGATTGTGGACTCTTCGCTGCTGCGAATGGCTTTTTGGCCCGAGAGCGTAAGGAGCTGCGGCTGTTAAAGACCATCGAGATGCTGATCCGCGTGGATTTCCTCCACACCCAGGACACTATTTGATCATGTTTCTTTTTCTTCTTTTTTCTTTGTTTCCTTTTTCTTGGTCCTTTTTTCTCCGGACACTATTTTAATATCATGGCGTTTCTTTTTTTCGTTGGTTTACTCGGCCCGATGTTATTTCCTCACTTGGTTGGCCAAACAGATCCCATTTTCTTCAGATGGAATTGAGCAGGTCCCATTTGTGGCCCGTTAATCGGAATTTCAGAGGATTCCTCTTGGGCGCATCTGGGGTGTGTCCTTTGATGAAGGTACCTTTTCGGAGTTGATCTTAAAGTGAAACCCAAAGAATCACAACCCATTTATGGTTGGCTTTACGTGGAACCCAGCCACCATTTTGGGGGTTCCCCCGCCCAAGAAAACGAACACACTCACTTCGAGGCGCCCAACAAAACACCCACTCCATACAAGCTGGTGGTCGGAAGATAACCAAGGAGCTGGGACCCGGTCTCCAAATTTTTGCGTTTATAGAGGGAGCCTTTGCGGAGCTACCGCTCGGAGTCTTGCAACATGGCTAAATCTGGTTTTTATCTGAATATTGGTTGGGGGACATAAACCCCCACCTAAAAACGATGTCCCATTTCGGGCCCCTAATTAAGAATCATACCCGCATGCTTCCATGGTCCCTTTCCAGGAGCAGCTGGTTCCATTTCCCAAAAGTCATACCCCACACGGCTTCCTTCCGCTTCCAGGAGCAGCTGCCGCCGGAGGTGGCGGAGTACCTCTCCCTGGTGCGGAACCTCCGGTTCTACGACCGCGAGCTGCGCCGGGGCGCCCGGAGGACGAGCTTCCGAGCTTTCGCCTTCGGAGCTTGGGCGGCGCAGTGCAGATGGGCGGCGGCAGACTTTTTGCGTGTGGTTTTTCTTGCTGCTGGTTTGATAGGCAGGAAATGAGTTACCCGAGAAAGACCATCCACAGTAGGTGTGGTCTTTTTCTGGCTGGTTTGATGGGCGGTGAGTGAGAATTGGAATAACCTTTTTGAGGAAAAAATCAAGCCCGATTTGGTCTCCTTTCTTCGGGAATCCCCTGGTCATTCTCTAAAGAGAACCAGCAAGGTGTTTGGAGTCGCTACCTTTTTCTGTATGGCTATTCGAGAACAGATCTTTGTACTTTAACTTTTTGGCTGAAACACGTCGGATTTCCGAATTGGACCCACAGCAAGTTGAAGTTTTTGCAGAGGGGTTAACGGCAGTCTGGTTTTGGAGTTGGCACCCTTTCCCCCCACTGACAGTTAGCACCTGGACAGTTTCCTCCAAAAGTACCCTCTGTGAAATGCCATTGTGGGAGGGAGTTGGTAGTTTTACCTTAGTTTGCGAAGGGAAAACCACCCATTTTTTTTTTTTGGGGGGGGTCTTGATTTTGGCCGAGATTACTTAAACGACTGCCTCCGTTAGATTCTCGGGCCGCAACTCACACAGCTTGGGCTGCGAGGGCCCCGAATCCGAGAATTCGCAACGAGTCAGCTCCATTTGTTTTGTCCCGGGGCTTGTGCTCGAGGGCATCACTTGGACTGCGTAATGTGTTCTGAAAGACCAACCCAAGGCCAAGAAGTTCGAGTGATCGGGTGCAATTAGAACCCTGGAACCATATTCCAATGGCTGACAAAACGAGCTTTTTACATGTCTTCATCGGGACAGTCCCAACTTGACCAGACCAGAAAAGTGAGCCGACTCTGACATACGAGTTGATGTACCAGCCGATCGCTTAGGATCGCTTAGATGGTGTGCTTGCTGTTTGGCAGAGTTTCAAGGGCCATCAAATGGTGCAAAGACAGGCTTTTTTTGGGTGCGACTGGAAACTGGGGAAGCATGTATTGATGCGACACGTTCAACTTCAATGCGGTGCAAATGCACTTTTGACCTTGCTTGCGGGTGAGGAGTTGGGGGGAGGGCAGTATGCAAAGGACGAAGAGGCATGAAAGAAATGCATGATGAGAGCCATTGCTGCATGAGCTCCGCCATTGCTCCATCTTGGCCACGGCTCCTGGTCGGCGACGTATTACTCTCCCAGGCCATGACTTAACTGGCCTCATTATTTTATCATGATCAAAGTCACTCCCTAAATGGCAGGTTAAAGGGCAACAACCCCATGTTCTGACTTTGATAACTCCCAGAAAGTGTCAAAATAATTATTTCCCCCTGCTTCACCTGGAGGCAGAGACACCGCGCTCTCCTACCAGCTCGCCTTCTTCCTGCGGAAGCACGGCTTCCCGGCGAAGCGGAAGATGCTGGGGCCCTACCCCCTGAAGGCCAGCGACTGGGGCCCGACTCGCTTGGCGACTGACGTTGATCAACTGATCGTCGGGAATGTGGGTTTGGGAATCAAAATTAAACCACCAGAAAATGGCAGGTTTTAGTCCTTGGTTCCATTTACCAGGGCGAAAAATCTGGGGTACTTATTTTTGACCCACAGCTATGTGGGACTCGGTGAGAGATCGAAGCCTTTGCCTGGAGTCCACCTGCCGATTTGGTTTTGCTTTGTTTCTTTGGGGGGGGGGAGAGGGTCGCAGCTGAAGCCAAGCTTTGCCCTGGGATCTTTGGGTCGGATCGCCAGGTGTGCGACCCATTGGAGCGGATCAACTTTGAGCCCCTGGAGGAGGGCGGTCGCGCGGTTTTCGGGGTTGAAACCCCCAGGCAAAACCGAGATCCATCTTGGGATATTTGAAAGAAAGACGAACCACAGGCTCGTGTGAGCGCGCTTTGGGCAGAAATCTCTGGTGGCTAAAGTGGCCAGTTTCTGAAATCAGGAACCCTGTTGCCAGTGGGAGCTCGAATTGCACGTTGGTTGGAGTTGTTTGGTTTTTCCTATGGTGTTCCTGTCGCATCTCTAGTTTTGCCGGTTTACCTCCCACCAAGTGCGATGTTGACGCAAACTTCATTTGAGTTCACCGTGGGCGGTTTTTTGAGCTGAGAAATCGAAAGGCTGCCCTGGGGTGGCCATGGCTGCGCTTGCAGCCATTTCACAATGGAGTTGGGATTTGTCTTGTTTTGAGGGTACCTTTACGATTTTAAAGGGAAGCCAAAAGGAAAGCCACCATTCTGGTGGGTCCACTAAAAAACAGACACCCGTTTGGCGCCGCCCAATTCAGCAACACCCCCCTATAGTCCAAGAAAGAGACGAGCTTCCTGTGGAGCTGTCGAGCTGCGTTGGCTACCTGTTTGGAGCAAATAGCTTGCTCGTCGAGACTATCACAACGGAAGCCTTGCAATTCTTCAATCCCCCTATGGCTTGCACAACTTGAATGCACTTGTGCATATTTGTCTGCATTTGGCACCAAGAGAGGGCTAGCGCCAACATCATTCAGCCTATGCTCCAAGAAGACATTCAAGAAACAACCATTGAGGGCGAAGGCAGGCTGAATTACAGGATTTATTCAAGAAACGGCCGTTGAGAATGCCGTGTCTTCTGGTTCTCGGGCACAGACTATGGCAGTTTTTGGTTGAGGGCGTTGTCTTCCTTCTGTTTCTTTTTTCATTTTCTTTTTTGGGGGACGGGACGTGATTTTTTGTTATATATATTTTTCCAATGCGGGTGTTGTTTTTTCCCCCATGTGTTGGGGGACAGGTCTGGTTTTTGTTGGGGGCTTCACCGGCTTCACCGGCTTCACCGCAGGAGAGGCCCTTCCGCGCGGGTTTGCTGGAGCTGCCCTTGGCGCGGAAGAAGCGGCACCTGGAGGCGCGGAGATCGTTGGGTCTGGGGCGCCGTTGTCGGGGCCTCGGGGCTGAACTTTGCCCCTTCTTACGGCTTTGATTTGGCCAAGCAGGTCGGTTTTTTATTGGGAGGCCCATTTTAGTGGTGGTCGTCCTGATTTCCCATTTTTGGCCTCCTTTGAAAGCCACATTATTTTTTATTGGGGGACCCATCTTGGTGGTGGTTTGCCTGTTAAGCGAATTCAGGTCGGGCGCCTGAGCCGTTCTCATGCCCAGGTTGCAGGTTTCCCCGGCTTGGGTTTTCGGGGTTGGGACAAAAAGACGCGCCGGGTCGTCCCGTTGAAAAAAGACACACAGAGGCTTTTCCGCCTCCTTTCGGGAAGCCTACCAGAACTTCCCTAAGACTTTTTTTTGCGAGCTGAACGCTCCTCTCCGCTTTCCATGCCGGCTTCCACTTGAATTCGGCTTTGGGGGTTTGGGGGTAAAGTGGGGCTTGGGGCTTCTTAAGTTTGTGTTGCCACCAACAACTTACAATGAAACCCGGGGCAGGTTTGCAACTTGTCAATCCTTCCAAGGTAGAAGCAAGCTCAACAATCGCTAGGAGCTGCGACATGTTGGTTTCCTGGTCATTGATTGATGAAGTGTCGTGTCCCACACTTACCCTGGCGACAACTTGTCATGGTTCTGCAGAGAGTCCCTCCCTAGTCGCAAAATGCCACGGACTCCTGCATGTGGCTTTGTCGACAGTGTAACGATAGTGGTAGTGGCATTGATGGCATTCATGGCCAATGTCAATAGTGGCATTTCAGTGTTTCAGTGGCAGTGATGGCGCCATTGTAGTTGAAACTGTGGAAGAATTGGGGTAAAGGCATGGTACTTGGCACTTTCATGAAACTTGGTTGTTTCATGAAAGGTGGTTGCTCAGGAAGAAGGGGGGCCTCACCCGTCAAAGCCTGGAAGGCTGATGAGTTCAGTTGCTTCTCAAATTGGGGTTGGAAACATGTCTGGGCAAACCTCAGTTTACACAGCTCATGCTTTTCAATCTCGCAATGTTGACAGTCGTACCCTTGGGGCCAAACAATTTGAATTTCATACTGTGGTAAATAACAAAGGGAAACCACAACCGCATCACACGTTATTTTACTCCCCGACTCCTGTGCCTCTTCCCCTCCCACCCGCCGTTGCGGCGGAACCGGCCGCTGCTGCGGCCACCTTCATTTGCCACAGCGTGGCCCGCCACGGGCCCAGATCAGTCGCAGCATTTGCTGCCAGGGTTTGTGAAAAGTACCTATGGGTTGTCTACAAAACCGGCACTCACAGCTTTGATCTTCGAGTAGTATGTTGTGCCGTCACCCGGGGAAATGTACGCAAAGAAGGGAGGACCAGACCCACCGTGGCGCTTCTTCTCGATTACCTGGAATGGGGCATTCACGCAAATAGCTTGAAGGGGCCAGGGGCTCAAGCAAGCATCATGGATTCTGTTCTTTTTGTCAACTCTAAAAACTGGAAACGACTGACAAACCAGGCCTTCCAGCCGTCAGCTGTTTCCCGTTCGCTGACTATGGCAGCAGGGAGCTTACCCTTCATCTTGGCAACCTTCTCAAGGGGAAACGGGCCATAGACTGGGCCATCCTCATCCGTCTTCACCTTGGCTTTGCTGACCTTTGCTTTTGAGGCAGGCTTTTTCGCAAGTTGCTCCTCTTGAGGAACATGTTGTTTCGCGGAAAGCCTCCTCCTCTTGGGCTCTTTCTGGCTTTCCTGGTTCACTTTGTTTTGCTCCTCTTTGTCGAGTTCTTTCGTGCCTGCACTTGGCTTTTTGTGTCCTTTTGTGCCCGCACTTGGCTTGCTCTTTTGTTTCTCTTCCTCAGCGTTGTGTCCTTCCGTGCCCGCACTTGGCTTGCACTTTTGTTTCTCTTTTTCTTTCATGCCCGAACTTGGCATTTGTTCCTCTTCCTCGCCTTCTTTCGTGCCCGCACTCTGCTTGCACTTCTTGGGCTGGCTCTTAGCTGCTTTGCTCCTGCCGCTGCCTCTGCCTCTGCCTCTGCTACGGCCTCTTTGTTGACTTTTCAGGGTGGGCCGTCCTTCAGTCTCGGATTCTTCCAAGGCCTCCGCTCCGCTGACCCCCGCTGCTGTTTGCTGCCTCGCTGGCCACTTGGCGAGAAGCAGCGGGGCTGTGGAACGGCTTTTGGTGAGGGGGCGAGGTAGCCGGTGCTGCCTGCCGTGTGGCCACCGCGTTTTTTTGCAGTCGGGAGCGAATCCTCTCAGCAACATCCATTGCAGTATCTGTGCTCCACATGTTAGACATCTTCGAAATCTAGCTTGAGGCCAGGCATCAAGCACCAATCATGAAAGCACCAAGGTCAAAAGGCATGGCAAGCAAGACTGCCTGGAACCATTGAAAATCGGCTTTTGCAGACTAGTTCAAACTTAGTGAAACCAAAGCTGGGCAGGGTGCAACTTTCAAGGGGGTATGAAGTAATCCAGTGGAGAAAGTGGCTTGCGACCAGTCGCAAGGCTGTAAAGGGGCATTGGTTTTTGCGCTGTCGGAAATGTCTTCGAGCGGTCGCTTTGGAATGGCAGCGCAGGGTGAGCCAGGCGCCCCCACGAATGTCCACACCGCTAACCAATCAAAAAGACCCTAAACATTGACAAGTGTTGCGGGGGTTGAAAGCTTTGATGTTGGAGCTTGATGTTGGAAGTAGGGAAATGACAGCAGTGTGTTCCATTCGCTCTGAAACTCCAGGTACTGCCATGAGTAACCAACTACTTTACGATGCTTTCAAAATGAGGCTTCCCTAAATGAATATTGGAGTAAATTTTGGCTCGTCACATGAGGGAACTAACTCAAAGGGGCCTCCATGCATCAGATCCAAGCAAACTTTGCGGGGCTCACGAGGCGCTGGCCGTCTCGCCCGCAACCTCAGGGCGCCCAAGTCCCTACAAGTGGGTTTTGAACAGCGCTTAAGTTTGACATATACGGGGTCCAATGACAAAACTTGAGCTATTTGGCACACTTGAGTTGCCTGAACCGGTTTGTCCTTGGTCAAAACAATGCCATGGGAGGTGATCACGTAGGGCTTCTGAACCTTCAGGTTCCCGCCGACCTTCTCGAACCGCCAGCGAAAGGCAACCTGAATGTGCGTGCTACCCTCCACGGAACGGACGCAACGAGCAAAAATATTTTTGCCGCTCGGCTTCTCCTCCTTGCCAGAGGGGTTCTTCATCGGCCGGTACTTCTGGCTGTTCCGCACCGTCACTTCGAAGCCGTCGATCTCCTCGCCGCCCGCTTCATCGGTCCTCTTCACGTCGATGTAGCTGAGCTTGTGGTTGGAAATCCGCTTCGTCTTCTCCAAGGTCAGCAAGAGCTTGTAGAGCGTCATGGCACTAACTGATGTTGCGTCGGGGCGAAGTGTAGCATCGTCCACTTGACAAATGACCTTGTCCGAGGTGACATTCCACTTCACGCCCTCCTGAGGGTCGTTGACGCTGACGTAGCAGCCTGTGCCAAATCCTCCGATCTGGCAGTACTTGGGCAAGGTTTTGTCCTTCTTGCTGTACAGGAACACCTTGCCTGACTCGCACCTGCAGATTGAGACGTCGGCCACTTCGCTCGCCGCGTCTTCCTCGATCTTGTCCACGGCTTTCAGCGCATCAAGCGTCTCGAACTGCTTCATCGCCGCGCCGGCCACGTCCTTGTCATCGTTGCCCGCTGCGTCTGCTGTCTCTCCTCCGGATCCACGACCCGACGGTTCTACGATCTTGGCCAGGAGGTTCTCGTAGTCCCGCACGTGGTCTGCCTTGATGGCAGCGTAGTCCTCTGCAATGGTGCCGGTTTGCGAAGACCAGAACTTGTCCTCATCTGGCTTGATGATGATCCGAGCGCCCTCACGCGAACAAACCTCAAGCTTCAAGCGGTCGATCGAGCCTGTCGCGATGAGTGCCCCAGGGATCTTGTTGATCTCGTCCTGCGAAATCTTCGGCGGCTCAGAAGTGAAGCCCAGCCCGGCGATGTTCAACTTCTTGTCCAGCCACATGTCAGTAAGTTCGGCCATCAGCCGCGCCTTCCCGAACTCCGGCTCCTCCAAGAAGTGCGCACTCATGTAGTGCAGCTTTTCGCTGGGAAGGCTCCCGATCTTGTCCTGCTTCATCTTCAGGTCCACCACCTTGCCATGATTCTGGGCCAGCTGTCAAGCTGTCGGCGGTTTTTCATGTTTAAGCAAGTCGTGTCAGGGCACTGGGTTGGACAATGGCACTTACGGTGGCCCACGCCTAGCTTGGCTTGATCAAAGGAACTTTAGAAGGGAGCTTCCATTGCACGGCAACTAGTTGAAAGCTAGCTCTCTGAGACAGATGACAAGAGAAGAAAAAGCACGCGCGAAAACTTGCGCGCGCGTGTGCGAGGGAATAGAAATGCTAACTAACCTTTTGCGGGTTTTGAAGCTTTGCGATGCTCGCAAGTTAGACTGATCGTGACGCCTGGACGGAGCGATCTCGAAGCAGGCTCGGAGCAATCTTGGAGCGCGTTCGGAAATTGGACCACTGGCACGGACGCTCGCGCGCTTTTCGTAGCATTAGTTTGTGTGACAGGCGCAGCGCTTTCGCAAAAGGTCAGGTACAGATTTCGCGCCAGGCGCAGCACGTTCGCAGGGTCAGGTGCAGATTTCGTGGCAGGCGCTGTGCTTTCGCAAGGTCGGGTACAGATTTCGTGGCAGACGCAGCACTTTAGTGGCAGGCGCAACGCTTTAGACTTCGTGGCAGGCGCAGCACTTTCGCAAGGGCAGGCGCAGACTGCGTGGCAGGCGCAGCACATTGGCAAGGTCAGGTACAGATTTCGCGGCCGGCGCAGCACTTTCGCAAGGTCAGGTTCTGATTTCCTGGCAGGCGCACCACTTTTTGCAAGGTGCGATCGCTGGGTCCAACCGCGCTAGTTTAGTGGCAGTCACTGCACTTCAAAGTGATGGACAGACAGGTAGATAGATAGAAGAGAAGGAGAGATAGATGGCTTGAAAACGATTAGAAAGGAAG